TGTGTGTGTGTGTGTGTGTGTGTGTGTGTGTGTGTGTGTGTGTGTGTGTGTGTGCGTGTGTGCGTGGGGGGGGTGGGCGACCTGCCCTAACCAATCAATCAATCAATCAATCAACCAACCATCCATTTTATGAGCAAAATCGAATGAATCGACAGCTAGAACATGGAAATATACACTTTTTTTTTTTTTACTAACCAAACCCCCCACCCGTAGTCTGCCATGCGCGCATGCGGATGGGTGGGTTGCGTTAAAAAAATCGTGCTACGTGGCACGTGGCGCGTTTGAACCCGTCCTCCGGGCGTTTGAACGCTCGCGTTCGAACGCGAACGTGCGTTCAGCGTGTTCGAACGGTCACATAACCCCCCGGCCTCAACTGATCCCTGTTTTTGGTAATAAATGTGACAGCTTCTCGGAAAAAAAAGAACAAAAAAGTTGTTTGTACCATATTGTTTTTTTTTTTGACTTATTTTCCAAAAATCAAAATTGCCAAAATCCGAATACAAGAAATGTATGATGTATTCGAATACAACATACGTACGTATATTCGAACCTACGTTCTATTCGGTAAAACAAGCGATTTCTGAAAACCCGGTAAAACAAGCGATTTCCGAAAACCTGGTTTCCGGAGGTAATTCGAATAGAAAGTACGTATGTTTTCTTCGAGCAGCAGTAGCAGCAGCAGTAAAAATGGTCGGCCCCGACGTCCCCTAGGCTAGCAAGTCCTGATGGGACTGGTCTGTATGTAGTCATGATTAGGTTGAGGTTCAGGTCCACCAGGTAGGATTATAGTCTGCAACTAAGGGCCTGGCCACACCAGTGTGTCGACACCGTGAAATATTCGCCAACTGTCAGACCATTTTCGACATGCACGGTTTCGACACAAAGACCGCCTTCGCCACACCGTACGTCGAAGACCCAGGAAAAGGGGAAAAAAGAAGAAAAAAAAAAGAAGAGGAAGAAAGACACCGAATGTTGACGAAGCGCCAGTACCCTGTTGACCCTGACAGGTGTCCAAATCCGCACATCCTTCACAACTTCCTTTCCGAGATGTTGAAACTCAATTGGGATTAGATCTCAGCAACATCAGAACAAACAACTACAACAACAACAGGCAGGTGGTCAAATGACTCCGGGGTGGCAGAGCATTGCTTACAGCCGGTTGCTAATTCTCCTACCATCAGATAGGAGACCTGTGTATACTATCACTCATCAGAGACTGTCGTGTAAGCAAGTAACTCAGACTGTCGTGCTGTTCTATCTGCCAAACGTCAATCTATGTAGATCAGCCTGGTGGCCTATGGATTCAGAATGAATGTCTCATCCTATTTGCAGTTGTCATGGTACTGGGGCATACCAGCATTTACAATAGAATGTTATGCAGGCAACAAGCTCAGATTGCTGTGTAGCTCGGAATTTCAGTATTAGGAGGTGAGCCTGGGTAGCCTGAGTTTCTTTTCTAGAAGGTGAGCCTAGGTAGCCTGCGGTCTTTACAATTGCTGGTCTGATCACACAAACAAATACAATTTCAATGTTACGGGACGTTGGACCCGTTTTCCAGCAGGTGCTGCTCCCCACCAATAGATGGAGCCTCCCCGGATTAAAAAAGTAAAAAAAAAAAAAAAAAAAAAAAAAAAAAAAAAAAAAAAAGAAACTCAACCTGCTGCAAGGGGGCTGTTCTGCAAACATGTTGAAACCACTTCTCTGACAAATGTGGCAGTGTTTTCAACATTTTTTCTTAGACAGTGGGCCTCACTGCACTACGCTAGACACATGAAAAATTTCAAGAGTACGTCTGGCGCTGTCAGACTCCTGGATTTTCATCAAGTGCTGTCGTCGCTGCACTTACTCTGGACCTTCGACTCTCGTGTCACTGAGCATTCTTGACTAATTGAAATATGAGTAGAATGTATTTAAACGTTCAAACGGATTACTGGGGCAAAATTCCTTGGACTTCAGTCGAGAGTTTTGTCTTCAGATTCCAGACCAGGATTTACAAGGCCTCGCTTTCAAAGAATTATGGTAAGATGCAAGCACTTCAGACAAGATTGGCACGAATTTGCCACTCCAAGAATGATGAAACTAATACCCATTTTGTCCGGCACACACTAGCGCCACTCTCGAATTTGCAAGCCGCACGAAGGGACCAGTCGGCCTTGTTTGAAAAAAACGGCCCTGCAGGCGGGAACTGTGGAAACTTCAAGAGCTCGTCCGATGGGCTGTTTCTGACACCTCTTGAAGCATCGGACCAAGAGCAGTTTTCCACAGTTAGCGCAGCGATGACTCACTCTCTACGTTTTCGAGAGTGAATCTTTCTTTTTTAAACAACCCGAGCGGATACTAGGGGTGCTGATAAGAGCAGACACCGCTAGCACCATCGGGAAGGCTCCATCTATTGGTGGGGAGCAGCCCCTGTTCCAGAGTCCCATTGACACATCGTTGCTGAGAAACAGGCTCATCGTCCTTTAGAAGTACATAGGTGAAAATAAGAAAAACCATGACCATGCGACAGTCCGGGAAAGACCCTGTTGCTGGAAACCAGGACCAGCGTTCCGTCAAAATGGACATTTTTTATTTTTTGAACGAAATTGAGACCGAGTTTTTTGGCCGAAAACTCGTCAAAATTTGTTGTTCCTTACAAACGCTGGACCCCCTGGCTGTACATGGACCTAGCTTGAGACCAGGCACCTCCAGGCAGGACTGCCTAGAGGTACCTCCACTCAAGCTATGTCCATGTACAGCCAGGGGGTCCAGCATTTTACAAACGCTGGACCCTCAGGAACAGCAAATTTTGACGAGTCTTGGGCCAAAAAACTCGGTTTCAATTTCGTTCAAAAAATAAAAGATGTCCATTTTGACGAAATGGCAGTTTGCCCTTCTCCTGACATGCGGCCAGGCTCAGGAGAACGGAAGGAGTCACTGGGGGGCACCAATGGGAGCCTCCTTCCATTTACTCGCCTGACCCCAATCGCTATGCTCTCCTCGGAGAAGTTCTTCAGATTTTCTGGGAGATGCTCGGCTTCACTGTAGATGGCGTTAGATGGATGATCCAGGCAGCGCTTAGGTACTTTGGCAGTGTCCGGGGACAGCGACTCCTCTAGGGACAGCGGGTGGGAGGGGGAGGGGTCTGCTAATTCCCGGGCTGGACGTAACGGGTTGCTAGGGTCAACCTTTGTCCACTCATGAAAATGCAGCTGATAATCTCTTTCAATCTCTGCCTGTTGTCCCCCTTACGGTCCCGCTCATCGTCCTGTCGATGTTCCCTTTGGTGTTCCTGTTACCCATCTCTTGTCCCATCTCCTGCCCAACTCACCCTTGCCACCTAGCCCTCCCTCTTCCCTCCTAACCAGTCCTCGCAGAACTGAGAGATAATTCTATTGATGTCGCCCCTGTGTGTACTTGGTTCAACTTTTCCTTAGCCACCCCCCACTGGGTTGTAATCTCGTACTGAACTAACAGCCGTAATTGCTTTGTGACCTCCCCATCTTCCACCCTTGCTCCCTCGACCTCCAGGATACACCTCCACCATATGACCCACAGGACGGCGCGTCTACCCAAGCGAAACATGTTCTCTTCGAATGTGTTTCCTTGAATCTGGGGATAATGTCCCAAGAGTGTGGCCCTCCAGTCCCATGGCCATAATGCGCCTGGTACCATGTGCCGCCAAATCCTTTTTTTTTTTTTTTTTTTTTTTGAAGCTTCGTATATGGGAAACCTACTTATCGAAGTGATAAGAGCATCCCCTCGAGCCGCTGCAAACTTGAATCTTGAATTTCTCAAGATTCAAGAGTAGTGCAGCCAGGCACAAGGTGTACGTCTGTGTATACCCCCGTACGAATACGGGCCGTACGTACGTACGTACGGGCTCATGTGGTCATACGGGCCGTACGTACGGAAAACAAACAAAAAAAAAAAAATTCAAAAAAATCTGAAAAAAAAAAATGTTATGCATAAAAATAAACTGAAACACTTTTGCCTCAGGGTCATATTGAAATTCGTTACCAAATTTGAGATAAAAAACAAAACGTGTTTTTTTTTTTTTTTTTTTTTTTTTTTTCGTACAGGGCTGTACGTACGGCCGTACGACCGTTCATACGGCCGTATGTACGACCGTGCGATAACCCCTCCGTACGACGTACGGGGGACGACACAGGTGTACGTCCTTTCCTAGATGTTAAAACTCGACCCGCTGCAAACTCGACCCGCTGCCAGCCTGTTCCACAAACATGTTGAAACAGCTTCTCTGACAAATGTGGAAGTGTTTTCCACAAAAATGTTGAAACCTCTTCTCTGACAAATGTGGAAGTGTTTTCGACATGTTTTCTTCGACATCCTGTGTGGCGAAGAAAAAATGTCAAAAACTCCACTTCGGACATTGGCGTGGCGAGGCCCTAAGTTCCTACCGAAATGAGGGGACCAGGTGGCACACACGCTGGCTCTAGGAGTAGGCCGGGCGAGTTGGGACGCAAGAGTATGGGCTTTGACACCGTGCCACACCACTCACCAAATGACATCGTAAAAAAGAGAAAAATATGTCGGGTGCATCTTTCCAGGTTCTAGCGGGAAATACGTTCTCAGTTTGCACTTTTGGTGAGCGGCGCGGCGAGGTGGAGGTCTGGGTGGGAGGAGGGGGAGCTGAGCGTAAGGAAGAAGACCTCCATGGATGCAGAGGACGAGTAGTAGAGGGAGAGGGTCTAGGTTACGGAGGGGATGGGAGAACGGCCTCAAGCTACACTACACACGGACTAGTAGGTGAATCTGCGGCTGATGTGGCTGCTGCTCCTCCCCCCCGGCCCCCCCCATCCCGAGGCTCTGATTCGATCCCTATCCCCCGGGTACGTAAGGTACAGCAGGCTGTACGTCACACAAGCTAGTGCGCAGGGGACAGTGATGCTCAAGGTGAGGCCTTTGGAGAGAGCATTGGCGTTGGCATCAACAAGTGGCTTCCCTGCGCCCTGGCCCCCCGTATTGCTCGAGTCAAAACCGTACACCCCAGCAAGCAGCCCAGCAAGGGGGGCTCCGACGGACCCGATGGCTATCTCGAATGCCCGGTCGTAGGCGTAGATGGTCGTCCGCAGCCGTTCGGGAACGATCTCTGCCATGATGGGGTCGTTGACACCCGGAGCGTTCCACAAACCCAACACCCCGACAAGGAAAAGGAGCAGAGCATACCAAAAGAACCCATCGCCGTCACGAGGCAGCACCCTGAGAATCAAGAAAAAGCCCCCGCCTTTAATGCCAAGGCTGAACTGGGCGCACATAGCCCTGCCGCTATCCGGCAGCCAGCGGTTCATGTAGTCACAGACCCACCCGCCGAACACCTGACCCAAGGCACGTCCGAGTCCTTCAATGACCAACAAGGAAGCAACTTGGGAATGAGAGAACAACAGCTCGTAATACAGGGTGTTCAAAGCCATAGCGCGACCCGGTATGGTCCCGAAAACGCCCTGAGCGATGATAACCATGAAGGTAGGGACCGCCAAGACGCCCCAGACCTCCTTCCAGTGCTGATTTGTGTTGTCGTCATCTTGACAATGTGCGCTGGGGGCAAACTTGGCTGTAGGCCCGTTGATGGAGTAGTAGGCGGCCGCCGAGCTGGTAATGGTGGTGGTTGTGAGGGAGGAGGAGGAGGAGGAGTCCGAGGAGGGGGGCAAGGTGCATGGTAGTGGTGTAGATGCCATTGTTGTCCGCCTCTGTGCTGCTTCTTCATCGTTACCTCTTTGCACCGTCTCTGCCACCCATTCTCCAGCCTCTGCTGCTGCTGCCGCTGCTCTGCCTGCCGGTCTTGCTCCTGACACACGGACACGCTCCTCCCGAGCGTCCCCACCGACCAACCGCTCGCTTTCGGTCGTCTGTGAAGCCGGATAGGTTGCCACGGCCGTGATGACACGTGGAAGGGGGGGATTGCTGACCTCCTCGACGTCCATGTCGGGAGGCTCATGCAAGAGCCGGTCGTAGTCTGAGACGTGGACAATGCAGCGCGGATCTCGGGCAAAGGCTTGCATGCACAGCGCCAGAGAGCAGCCGAGGACGGCCAACACAAAGAAGGACAAACGCCAGCACGGCAACCCCAAGAACACAGCTTGGGCCGTGAGTGTCACCATGGAGCTTGTAACGAAGCCCCCCACCGTTCCAAGGGTGGCATTCAAACCGAATCCCCATCCTCTTTTCTCCTCCGGGTAAGCATCTGCCAAGATGGACTGCATGGATGGAACGACCAACGACAATCCAATCCCATTCAATGCCCGGAAGACCGCCATCTCCGCGAACGACCCGCTCATCCCCACACCTACTGTAGCGAGGCTCCAGCTCATCAGGCCTGCGATGATCACGTTCACCCGGTTATATCTGGTAGCTAAGTAGCCAGCGACCGGTGAGAACAACGCCTCGACCAGACATCGAAGGAAGGTGAATGTTCCGAGCTTGGCCGGTGATATGTTGTGGATACTTCCACGGACTTCCAGGAACACAGCGGGCAAGATGACGATGTCAGCCGACTCAAGGATGGATGCCACGTGGACGAGCACCGTCGTGCGACTCAGCGGATCCGATAACACCCCTCTTACCCTGCCGAAGATGCCGTTACAAATCTTGAACGCTGGCTGCTGCGTCGTACCCTTGCAACAGAGGAACGCTGGCCTGATGCGCTCCATCATGATGAGGCTTGTAGGTCCCTGTACCTGATTCGGATGCGATTGTCAAACGCAATAAAGAGAGAAAAGCACCCATCAATGCCATCATCATGATGATGACTAAGACCTCGAGAGTGTATCATTCAGGCATTTCTCGGTTGATGCGTGTTAATCATCCTTCCGCACAGGGGCCATGCTAATCACTCTTCTCTGAGTCGTTCCAAATTAATTTTCACGCATGTCCCCAAGCAGCAGCAGCAGCAGCAGCAGCAGCAGCAGCAGCAGAAGAAGAAGAAGAAGAAGAAGAAGAAGAAGAAGAAGAAGATGATGATGACTAAGACCTCGAGAGTGTATCATTCACGCATTTCTCGGTTGATGTGTGTTAATCATCCTTCCGCACAGGGGCCATTCTAATTAATCTTCTCTGATTCGTTCCAAATTAATTTTCACGGATGTCCCCAAGCAGCAGCAGAAGAAGAAGAAAAAGAAGCAGAAGAAGAAGAAGAAGAAGAAGAAGAAGAAGAAGAAGAAGATTCAACAAGTAATTGAACGGAAGTCCGGAAGAAGAAGAAGAGCTGCAAGAGCATGCATGAAGAAGAAAAAGAATATAGAAACCATCTTCATCTTCTTCTTTGGCCATAGACTGTTTCTCGCGCATTCACTGACCTCAGTAGAGACGCGCATATTCCCCCGACGCGTTTCGGTCAGGTTGCGCTCCTGGGGCGTGGTCCCACTAGCAAAGAGGATCGGATCGAATGTCTGAATCTGGACGTGTTTGTGGAGAGGTGCAGGAAAAATCGAGATTGAGCTGCTTTTCTGTCTCTCCGCGTAAAACGCGCCCAGATTCAGGAGGTTAATCCTATCCTCTTTGCTAGTGGGACCTCGGCCCTGGCCTAGCACTCCTCAGGGGGCTTCTCCCAAGATCGACTTGCGGCACCACCGTTCGGTTTTCCTATTATGTTCAAAATCTGACGCACGTGTCTCTGTGGGACATTGCTGAAAGGATTTTATTTATATTTTTTTGTTTAATCGTTAAGAGGATTGGAAGGATACAGAGAAGATCAGGGACGTGGTACCATTAGCAAAGAGCATCGGATTGAATGCCTGAATCTGGAGGTGTTTGAGGACAGGATCAGGAAATAGAGATAGAACTGCTTTTCTGTATCTCTGCATAAAACTTAGGCAGATTCAGGATTTCTATCCTATCCCCTTCGCTAGTGGGACCACGGCCCAGCATGGGACCTGCGCAAGGATTACACGCATAAATCGAGAAATGGTCCCAAAAATTTGTTTCGTTTCTTTTCCCTTATTTTTTCTTCTGACGGATATAAACAAGAGTTTTTTTTTTTTTTAAGGCGGGGCTTACGAGGGGGGAAGAGGGGAGGGTAGGCCTTTGGACATAAAGAGGTCCTGGAGACAAAGCAAAATAAGGGAGCACCAACTGGCCTAGCTCAGTTGGTTGGTACTCCCCCCCTGAACTGAGCTGTACTCTTGAAGGTGATATCTGGAGGCCATCGCCCTTTGGACAAACATACTCCCCCCAAACAAGCCCCCCCCCAAAAAAAATGCAATTGTCTGTATGGACCAGAGAGAAACAAGAAGTGCGATAGATCGGGATCGGTTCCAATTATAGGAGAGTGCATGCGATAGAGGCCACCACGGTCGTGCTTACATCCCATCGGGTCATCAACTCAAAGACACACAAGACTGGTAGTCGTCCCGACTCCCGACCATGCAAATGAGTGAGATATCAAAGCAGCACAGTTCTAGTGAGCTGAAACATCCAATGAGAAAAAAAAAATAAAAAAATAAAAAATAAATAAATAAATAAATAAATCCAATGAGCTACTCTATTTCTTTCCTTTTTTTTTTTTTCCCTCTTTTTTTTTTTGTATTGGGGGGGGGGGGGGGAACTACCATAGGGGGCAGTCACGATTTCATTTTAAATCCACTTCAGGCATCCCTCGAATACAACACATTCCCACCGCTCCCAAGGCTACTACCGTCTTCCCCCGAACATAACGCACCCTAAAAGTGAATGTATACGAGCTATATTCTCAGCCAGATACAGCCAAAATAAGGGTGCGTTGTGTTCGGGGGAAGACGGTAGTAGGTTATTTACATTCACGATTTTCCTCCCTACACAATTCCCCCGAATACAACGCACGGTCATTATACCTGAATTTTTGGTGTATCTTTCAGTCTAAATTCAGCTATAATGACCGTACGTTGTATTCGGGGGAAGACTGTAGGTTTGGCACAACATTCAGTGCACGACATCGTGGCTGAAAAGCATCATTTTCAAACTGAAACCGAGCCTGCGCCCTAGTTTTCCCTTTTTTTTTTTTTTAATTAATTAATTAATTTATTTATTTTTGTTGGGAATAGCACCAATCTTTTTTTTTTTTTTTTTTTTGGCCTACCGGGAATCTCACATCCAAAGAAATGAAATGTGGACACGCATAAATCGAGAAAAATGGTTATAAAAAAAAACTAAAAAAAATTGGAATGAGGCTAATGAGCTACTCTGCCCGCATATCTCTCTTCTTTCGCTCGTGCAAATGGACAGAAAAACGAATCGAATATAAAGCAGCATCTCGTCTGCTCATTCTACCCATTACACATCGTGAAGGACACAACGGGGTAGAGGGCACGGGGGTACTCGGGGGTACTCGGGGACGATGACACCTTTCACCGCAGCTGTTGTTCGCATTGCCCATGGCTCTTTCAAGTTATCCGTAGAAGGCTACTAGAAGCCAAATTTTGCGTCCATTGAGTCTCTTTTGCATGTATTTATCTGCGTTTCACGACTCTGTTCTTCTTCCGAGTCCGACCTTTCAGTGCTTTCACACTACACATCGCAAACCACGAAAGCACTTCACTGACAGAATCTCTCTACTGAAAAAGAAAGAGATGTCCTGATAGGCTCTCCCCTGAGGAGCAGAGGCTGACAGTGTCCTGCTTAGCCAATCCCCTGGTATCCAGGGTAATCAATGCTAGCAGGACTTGTCTTTTTATTTCTCTGAGTGCTCTCTGATCACATTGTATCACATTGTATCACATTGTATCACATTGTATCACATTGTATCACATTGTATATGGGACGCTGGACCCGTTTTCCAGCAGGTGATGCTCCCCACCAATAGATGGAGCCTTTCCCCGAGTGGTAGTGG